AAAAAAAAAAAAAAAAAAAAAAAAAAAAAAAAAAAAAAAAAAAAAAAAAAAAAAAAAAAAAAGAATTTTAAGACTCTAACAAATATTAATATAATAACGCTTCCTCAATATTATATACTTCCAATGCTATATACTTCTTTCGAAGATAATATATTTCTTCAAACATATATTTAAAAAAAAATTATACGAATATTATGTATAATAAAAATTTCTTAAATATCTCATTTGCAGCTTCAAAACTACTAAACTGTATAAGCTATTTTTTTTTTTAAAAAAAGAGAAAAAAAACATTTGCTTCAAAAATGGTTAAGGTTACTTGCTCCCTTGGTACTGCCAGGTGAGCACCTCTGAGTTAGATCTATTTCAATTTCAGTAACTTCCCTTCGGCGAAATTTTAGTTTTATTATGTCAAGATAATAACCTATCTTGAAGAAATCCACTGTTTCAATTTGATGAGTGCCCATGATATGTCTGAAATAGTGACTTTCAACTAGCTGTCCGCAATACAAGCAAAATATTTTAACCCCCCCTTTTTTTTTTTGAAGTTCCTCATCAGTTTCAAAAAATTTTAATCAGCATGTAAATTTGATTTTTCTCATTTATGCAAACAAAAGCAGGCTTATTAATTCTTTTAACAAAAGAATAATTTCCAAATTTGAAAGATTTTGACGGGAAATTTATATTAATGTTTGGGAGTACAGTGCGCAAAACAAAACGGAAACTTTTGATTAAATGATTGGACTTCACGTTCTAGGACTCAAACTTAAAGGTTCGAAGGGGTTTTGTGAATGCTAAATAATTAATGATGACGATATTTTAAGTTACGAAAGCAGACACAAAAACGTATTTTCTCTGAATAAACATGCCTTTTTTTCGACGGATTCGGATTTCCAAAATATAGGTGGTTGCTGGAATCTGGGAAATATGGTCCTAATAGTTTGGTCAGGGGAGCGGTCCAAAGTTCGAATCCCTAAATGCTAATTTTACTTTTTGTGTATTTCACCATATCTCGAGAAACTTGTAAGCATATTAAAAAATTTTGCACACAATTATAAAATTCGTTTATCCTAAGATAATTCCATGCAATATTTATTTTATTTTAAAAATAGTCGAAAAACTTTTGAATTATAAGGTATACAATGTTAAACATTATTTTAAAAATGTAATTTTAAATGGAAACATACAAAATTGGAGCGTAATCGGTCGAATAATTCCTGTGAAATCGAATTTTTAAAATACGACTTTTTCCAAATTCATTTTGGGGGTCAAAAATCCGAATCCGTCAAAAAAAAGGGCATGTTTATTCAGAGATAGTGCATTTTTGTGTCTGATTTCGTATCTCAAAGTATCGTATGTACTAATTAAATAGCATATTTGCGGTCATCCCCTCGAATCATTAAGATTGAGTCCTAGAACGTGATGATCCGATCATTAGAGCGGTTCGTTTATTTATTTTACGTACTTATATCCTTGTGCTAAGGTATGAGTATTAAATTGATTAGCAACTACAATGAAAGTTGTTTTCTCACAGACTATATTCCAAATCCTGAGACAACAGAACTTAAGTTGGACATACGTTCGTGGGTAGACAGACCTCAATTTTCTCGCTGATTTTAAGGTTTTGAGTATATTTTAAACGTCTATGTACTTGCTATTAAAATAATATTTTTTTCCTCTCAAACTTGTTTTAATTTCTAATAAAATTATAACTTCTTATTTGATTTGCAATTCAATACTTTTTTTCTGTTTTGTACTAATTGATGAAAGTTCAACTGCTTCGTCTTTCTCAACAGCGATTCGTACGATTTCGATAACATTTTCATATTTTCCTAATTTAAATATGAATGTGCGAGCTTTAATGTGTATATTTTATGAACTTGCATGTCCCTAATATGTATTATTTACAGGGATTGTATAACATATAGTAAGAGGGGTCATTATGAAATATCTTGCATATGCCAACGAAGTTCGCGTTTTAATAATAAATTTTTAAATTCTTTGAAAAAATATAAATATATATATTTAAATTATACACTAAAGTGCATGAAGTGATTTTTTACACATACCTTTTACAAAAGGAAAAAAATATTTTATAGGTTAAACAAGCTAAATTGAAAATTTATAAACTTTCTTGAAGTAAAAACTTTTTTGTACTACAGTCTAATTCCGCTATAATGAACCTGGCATAAGACTCGGTTATAGTTAATATTTTTAGTGGTTCCGTCCCTAACTAGTTATTTAATACGCATAAAATGAACGGCAGAGAAATTGGTAGTTCGTATATAGTGGATACAAGTTTTCGTGAGAATGACCCATATAAATGTTACGCAATTTTTGAGTCGATGTAATAAGTTCAAAGTTATGTAATTATGACTTTTAATTAGAAATAAAATAACATATTAGAGATGAAGCGGGCTCGTTTACTTAAAAGAGGTTCATAATAAAATTGTCATACACTCTTTATAACTTTTCAGAAAACGTTTGGGTCAGTTATTATGCATAAAAAATGTAATATTTTTAAGGTATACAAATTTACAGCGATCTGCTCTTCTGTTGGATGCTCTTGCTTTGCGAGGTAAAATCTAAATGCCAAATGGCTTTTATTTAGTTTAAGGATTTACTATACTAGGCATCGGACATCGTTCCTTGACGGATCGACATGAGTAAAATACAAATAAGAATTAGTGTGGAGAACTCACGGTGTTCTTATGCTATTCTTTGTTTTTTATTTAATATATAAGTATTTACTACATTGAAAATGACATTCTAACGTAACGCAGTAGAAAAAGCAAAGCGAAACAAAAATAAATTTTTGAACTTAAAGTTAAACAAAAAGGGTTTCTGATGAGGAATCTTATAGACGATAAAAATCTTGTATGTTTGCTGTTGTTGACAATCATTCTTCAACATTTCTCTTTCACATTTAATTCTTGATTTTTTTCTTTCGCTTTTTGTTTTACAGGTAAGTGATAAAACAGTTTAAATGATTAATTTCCTAGTTTAGATATAAAATGCCGAAACAGCACATTTTGGCCTTTTTCCGATATATATCTCGGATTAAAATTATTAATTCGGGCTCGGAGGCCGAACTCATCTCTAAGACACATCATAAAGGGGAGTTTAAGATGAGCAATTTTGCTGGATTGAATAATTCGAGAGCAGGCACGTGGGAAAGTGAATTAGTTGCAAAGAAAGTATAACTTTAAATTACAACTTTCTTCAAAATGACGAAAATCAAAAAAATAAAACTAAAAAACTTCCAAAAATGATGACTAAAACTGAAAAGAGAAATATTTAAAAAATTCGTAGTAGGTATACAACCATTTCGTTTTATGGAGAATATTTTGAATGTTACTTAACGTTCCGATTTAAATTTCCCTCATAGTAAATTCATTGTAAGGGAATTTTGCTGTAGAGCCATTCTAGATATTTAATTAGTGAACAATTAAGTAATTTATGTACAATAGCAATTTCTAACAAAATTGCTGAAATATGCTTAAAAATATTTTCTCAAAGATTTTGGATACAGTGAACTTGCAGATGGTTCATATAGTGGGATAAGGCCCAGCATAAGGTTTTTCTTTTCTTTTTTTTTTAAGGTTGATAGGCAAAATACTGTAATTTAATATTGCTGTTATGGGTTTTTATTATGTGCTGATTAAGAGATACATTTAATAAATTAATTTTAACTATGATTTTAATTTTCTGTCTAACAAAAATGAATATTATTGAAATGTTTAATTCTATAATGCAATTTTTGTTATACATGTGTGTGGAAAATGTGTTATTCATAAGTTAATTTTGTTAGTGACATCATTATTCGACCTTTATAAAATATAATCCGTATTTTTTTTTCCTTCATCATTTTAACAATTTTGCCTTATGTGATGGAAATATAAAAATGCTCATATATCTTTATCTATGTACTTTCCTATTTTCGATTATCTATAAAGTTTATTTAAATAGATTTTTAAAAGGTTTGGTTGCATTAAAAATTGAAAGATTTTTTTAAACATAAAAAATGTGTTCGAAAATTTTGAAATTATTCAAAAACTAAATAATGTCTTAGTGGGAAAAACAAAGACCTGTGAATAAATGATATATTTTTAAATGATTGTTTAAAATAAATGTGAAATAATAAAGAAATTATAATAAATGAAAACAACAAAATACTGAGCTAATTCTTTTAATATTCAAATTTATCCATAAACTAAATTTTAAATGAATTAAATAAATTGTAAAACATTTTAGTCATAAAAAATCAACAAAATGATTGTCGTGGTACATAATAATTTTGAAAATTTATTTGGTGATTAAATTTCTACAAGCATGAAAAATAAATATAACAAACAAACAAAAAGAACTAAAATTTAACAGAATTAACAAATTTCAAGAATATTTTTGTTCAAAATAACACAATATAAAACATACTGTTGGTTAATTAAACTAGTCTAAATATTAACATAAACATAATGCTGTTTTTAAAGCAAGTTGGAAAAATAACGTGTTTTCTAATATAAAAAAAAAAATAATATAATAAATGTAATAGTTTTAGAAAGACAATAACGATTTTTTTTCTAAAAATTTATTAACCTAATGAGTAATTTAACACATTATTGCACAATAAAAGACACAAAAAGAACAATACTTCCTGTTTTTTGCATCTTTTATTCGATTTCATGTACACACAAAATCGAACACAAATATCTCATACGTGCTTATTTTAACGTAATTGAGTCAAATCAACAATTACATGTTTCATTAAATATAATAAAAATATTCATAAATTGAAATAAAATAAATTATCAATACCATGAGGTAAGTCACATCAACAAATTTGGAAATAAGATTTCCATTTGAAACGTCAAAATTATCACATTTTTTAAACTATGAGTATTTGATTCAAAATAAGAATCAATATATTTTCTGTTCTTTGAACAGTACTAACATAATTGATGCTGATTAAAATCATATAACAACTTTACTTCTAAAAATTAAGTAACAGTCTAAAGCTGAACAAAAGCATTTCAGAACCCGTATTTACATTAGTTTTCTGGTTTTAGAGTGTACATATTCACTATTGATAGCATGATAACTAGACAGCAGTCTTAAAATTCAATAATATAATATAACCATAACAATTGAAATGTAACTTAAGAAGTGCTATGCACACATGATTTTTGTTTCACCTACAATACTCATTCTTTGAACTATATACAATTATGAGAAGTTATTTAGAGATTGGAAGTGAAATTAATATAGAAAGCTCTCAAAATCACGTAAGGTGGTCGAGGAGGAAAAATACTACTGAGATTAGTATTTTTCCACGCCTTTAAAACAATTTTTTCCACAGTCATTTTGGCGAAAAAATTAGGCAGCCTACGTATGTTAATGCTTTGAATAACATGCGTAGGCTACAAGAGGTTAGAACATGGTTGAGGTTACATCGTCATGAGAGCACCAGAGATATTATGAAAAGTATAATTTTTTAATCAATTGGCCGGCAGTACTATTTTGTCCGTACAACTAACATTTTGCAAATTTGCGGCTAAATTAAGTCGCTTACACTTAGCCCTCCGATTCTTAAACCAAAATTGAATGTTTTTAGGTTCAAGCTTTGGAAACTTTTGTCTGTATTGCATACTGTTGAGCTCTTGCGTAAAACGTACTATTTGACTATGAGATGGGTGGGTATTGGCAGAAAACCATTGTTCTAATCGAGGTACTTCAGACACCGGGTCAATGAAAGTTCGGTTCCTTTTCCTTCTTTCTTCCAGGCGACCTAAAACACGAGAAGGAAAAGCTCCCGATCCTTGACGATCAATATCTCCGTCAGGAGATATCAAATTATCGTTCCCTGAAATACCACCATTCTGTTGCATGGCATCATGGTAACCTTCCCTGGGATCATCAATTGTCATGTTCATGTCTTCCATAACATCAACCTCATCATCCCCACTATCACTTGATTCAATAGAATGTTCGCTGCTGGAATCCCGTGGTTCTTCTTTGATCCTGAGTTCAACTTGTGGTTCATTATGTTCTGATTCAATGTTATAATTATGGCATCGACGTACGGAGAGATCAAGAGTATGTACATTGTCGGAATCATCAGAACTGTTAGCTTGCGATTCAGAATGACTTTCACCACTGAATCTTTCACCCTCATTTTCATTTGAAGGACGACAAGTCGCCTGTTCTGATACCATTGTTCGATTTTCATTGATTCCATCCGCACAAGGACTACGAACGCCATTGCTTTCTGAACAACATTTCTGTTCAGCTCTTTTATGCGCAGCTCTGGCATTTTTGAACCAGTACACGACATTGTTCACATCCAGAGGTTTTCGACCCCTACGAGACTCCAATGAGTTTAGTTCTCGCACATACTGTTGTATTTGCAGGCGGGATGGATGTTGATTTTCTGCAAACCAACGGTGTAGTTTAGGTAATTCGAGCTCAGGATCAAATGAGGTCCTAATGCGAGTCCGACCTTGAGATTGTGCTCCAGCTATAGTAACTCTTGAAACTAAATCTTGAGGTGTATGAGGAGGAGGACTACCAGGAACAGGCATTGGCTCTCCAGGTTGAACAATAGCTGGATGATGAGAATGGTGATGATGAATATGCTGTTGTTGCTGTTGCTGCTGCTGTTGTTGCAATAATGCTACTTGTCTACAATGTTGAAAAACTTGCTGGAGGTACCATTGATCAAATTTCTTTCTTGTTTCATCAGGAATATCACATTCAAGTCGTCCTTTGGTAAGGGCCGCAAGAATACTCTGTGAAAAAAATTTAAAGAAAATTACGTTTTGTATAAGCTGAACAAAGTTTCAAGGAAAACAAAAAGACATTTGACATTTTTTATACTTAGCGAATAATTTTTTCAAATTAAAGAAACAGTTATTAGTAAAGAATGAAAAGCAGGAAAAATTGAAACAGAGAATAATTATTTGCACCAAACGGTCAGAACGAATTCAAGGGCAGTATATAAGCTCTTTGTTGTACCATTTAAATGAAAATATTTTATAAACTGGATAAAACATAGAATAAAGCAGATAATCAAAAAAAATTTCATAGTTGGAGTGATGCGGAGAAATAGGAAATGGGAATGCCAAAAAAGTAAGATGCACACAGTGAATTTAAATGACAAATTTGAAGTAAAGCTAATGTTGCTTGAATGATAAATATCTAATCTTTCTTATAAATGCAAATGATCACGTAATTAATAACTTTAAGAGTTTATTTTTAAAAAATATTGAACAAAAGAACTTAACATTTAGCAGTAAAATGCTTTGCACCTAGTTACGTTTTTCTAATAACAGAATTCCGAATGTTTTCAAAAAATATTTGAGCATTTCATTCCCTATATATCTTAAAATATTTAATTGAGTTATATGTATGGATGAAAAGTATAGAGAATATACATAAATATTTAAATGGTTAATTTAATCCTTAGGCTAAAGTATCTGCTTAAGATATTATTTTTGTAAAATGTTTTAAACTCCTGTTACATGTTAGTTTAACAAAGGAAATAAAATTTTTACAATAGTTAAATTTATTAAATATTTATTGCTTTAGCTAACTCCTATAAGCTAACATCTCAAATTTCATTTGTTTTTTATTGCTTCTTTTTTCTTCGTTTTTTTTTCTTTTTAAAAAACATTAAATACTGTTTTAGTAATTGGCATAAATAATTTTTAAGTTAACTGCTGCTTACCAAGAGGTAAGGGAAGGTATAGAAGAGAAAAAACACGCAATAATGTTAACAGTATTAAATAATTTGCTAAAGTTGATGATAATTAAGTTGAATTACCTATTAAGTTGAATTTACAACTTAATGTTCTAATGCTTTTGTCTAAACGTACTTTCAATCTTTTAGACTCAAAATTAATATGCTTTGCAGAATAGTGAGAAAAATAAGAGGAAGTATCAGAATAGTATTCTTTGTAGAATATTGTAGATATAAGAAAGTGCAAAATGATCTTTTGAGTCACAATATAAATTTTTTTGCATTACATTATAGTGTACACATTCATTCTAATAAAATACAAAGTTTTTAGAGTGAATTTTTCTTATTATATTTAGATAAATTATTAGCACACATTACACAAAACTTCTCAACAGTTAAGTAAATTGCAGGTGAGATGAGTCTATTATGTAAATATAATTCTCGATTTTAAAATAAGATTATTTAAACACAACAGATAAAAAATAGATTTAAAAAGCGCGCACTCTATTGATCAACTAGAAAACACTGACTTTGCATTTGCATTACTCAAGAAAAAATTCAACCATTAGCTTATCCATGATAAGTTAATTTGTTCAAAATATATAAGTTGATGATAAAAATTCAAACTTGAACTCGAATGAATTTTCAATTTCCTAACCAATGAGACAAAAATTATGTCCTATTATCAAGTATGCAATTATTTTCACTTTTGACTCAGACTTTTCTTTTTGAGTTCTTATTCAGTTAAAAAACACATTACTTATCAGATATTGTAATGCAAAAATTATTTTTCTATATGCTTATTATTTTTATTCTTAGATATAATGGTTTAATTTTGATTTAATTTGTATTATAAGGAGGTTAAATTTTTATTTCATGTTAAACTTCATAACTATATGAGTCAAAATTAAAAATAAATCGATAGGATAATTAAAGGGAAATAATGAAATTTTTAAAAATGCATTTTTTAAATAAAGTACTAAAAAAATTAAAATAATTCCCGAGTTCATATATGGGTTAACTAATTTTATAAATACATCCATAATGTTTTTGACAAGCACGATTATTTGAAAAATTATGGTTAAAGCGGAAAGAATTTAAATAATATTTGGGAGTAAGAACTTATGATATGCCATCTGTCTAAGCTATACGGGCCACTATTTTCCAGATTATGGTCATGCTCTTACGATGTTGGCAAACAAAATTTTAACATATTTCAAAAAGAGAGAAAAATTAACAGCTTGATTAAAAATGAATTTTTGTGTCAAATTTTAGTTCATAGAAAAAATAGTTAATAGTTTTTCCTAATTAATTCATATATAAATAAGTGCTCATCTTGAAGCATAAAGATTACATTTCAATAAGCGAAATACCAATCATTATCATTAATTATGCAAAGTTTCTTTTTGAATTTTTAATTATAACTAGCCTAGAATCTACCAATTAGTATTTGGACACTTATGATAAAAAAAAGAAAATATATTCATATTCTCTTTATAAGAGGAAATTACCCCCAGAGACAATTATCATGCTTTCCATGAGTCCTTGAATGACAGTACATGGTATTTTTTCCCAATTAGTTTGGAGAAGACAGATAAGCTCTTTGTTAGCTAGCCCCAAATGTTCTCTATAGTGTTCTGGATCTTGGATAGGGCAGTTTACTTGGTTAAATATATTAACACCATGCCAAACCATGATGGACCTCACCACATGACTCATGTTGGAAGTATAACTGTTACAATGTAAGAAGCACATCCAAAGTAAATCAGACCAGAAGAAATAACCCCCATATTATAATTTTGCTTCCACTGATATACACTGGTGTCCGGTTCCTTATTCCGATGTCTTTTTATGACATTCAACAAAAATCCGCTTATGAAATATTTAAGAGCAATAAAAGTGTTACTACTAGAGAATTTTCCCTAATACAAAGCAAACAAAAAGCAAGTTATTTTTAATCACCTATCAATTTGAAGGCAATTGAAATCTCACAGATATTTAAAATTTATTAAAGCAATTTTAATATTGTTTGCTTTTAGGTAATGACTTATTAACAACAATAGAAAAATGCAATAGCAGTAATACCAGTATTAGAATCTGGAGCACACATTTGCATAATTCATTGCCTGATAAATGCTCTTAAGAAAATGTTAGGACAACATATTAGAAGAAAACGGGAAAGCGAATTAATTCATCTCGTATAGAATTCTACTTTATTTCATTTAAATATCTCGATAAAAGGCGAAGAGAAAAATTTGTTTTAATCATCAATTTCTAAGATCACAAAGCAATTTTAATCTCATTTAGTAAAGGTAAATTATAGAAGACAAGAAAACGGTCATTTGAAGTAAGAGAACTTAAGAGGAAAAGTGATTTGTATCGTAACCATATTAGAAGATATTAATATCGGCGGGAAAGATTTTTAATCACATTGGCGAACACTCCCAACGCGGTTAGAAGCTCGTCTTGTATTTAACTGCATTTAGCAAACACAAACAAGCATATAAGGTTGGTTGTTTTTAGCCAAGCTCTAGTACATATTAATTACGATAGCGGACTGTAATCCCCGGACATTCGAAACGAAGGCGTCCTCTAATCCAGTGAAACGGAAGGAAGGTGGCGAACGCGATTACCTGTTGCGCCCCCGCCCAACGAAATAGAGGGACATCTCGTTAGGGCACCGCCCGCCGCCCTCCTTATAAAATGGATAAACGTAAGGAGAAAGCGCGCGTGGGGTAAAGGAAGGGTGTTGTAGGGTAAAACAAAAGGAGAGGGCATTTTTGCTTGCCGACGCTCCACGAACATCCCATTATCCCGTCCCATCTGGGACATGGAAAAGCGCAGATCTCGAACTGGGATTACGGGACGGAACTGCTTTAAATTTGAAAGCGCGTTTGGCGGGAGCGGCGCAAAAGATGAAACGCGCCGCCGCTTCGAACAGGATGAAAGGGGCGCTACACAACTAATCCTTGGTAATGAAGATTACATTAGAGCGGTAAGTGAGAGGCGCCCCACACACAAAAAGATGGAACCCATGTTTATGGAATTAATTCCCGCTGTCTGCGCCTAGACCAGTAATGATATTAGAAGGCGTGCGGCTCATGTAATTAATGCAGCAACCGCCAAAGAAGGGTACCGCCCCTCCACTCCACACATTCCTTTGCCCGCTCCCGACACATTCCAAGAGCTTGGGGCGCAGAGGAAAAACCGTCTTCTAGAACTTGAGAAGACCACAAAGACGATACTACATTAACGTAAAAAGATGAAAGTGCTTCAGCGGATTTTGCAAGGTGGTGTTGTGCATCGAGCAAAATCATTAAATACATCTGTCGAATACGCAAAGCATTCTCTTCGTCAAGAGAATTTTAGATGTTTAAAGGGATGGAAGAAAAAAAAAGAAAGAATTTATTCGGAATGTAAGAGTAAACAAAGTGGGAGATGACGAAATATCGAAGGTTAGAATTTGATTGTGGCAAAGAAAAGATTCTTTTTCCACAAAGAATAGGATACAATAAAAATATAACTATTTAGTAATTTTTGAAAGAAATAAAATATCAAAAATCCTCTTAATTTTTATTTAAACATTAAAAGTGCCATTAGAAAGCGTTTCGTAATAAATGTTTAATTTTAAATCTTAACAACCATAAAGGAAATAAAAACTGATGCAATTATCTTCACTAAATGTTAATGCCCAATTTTATTCTATTACATTAACTATAAAGGAAGAAAATCATAACTTAGAGTAAATCATGCTTAGCTAGCAAAAATATTGATGGTATTATTTGAAGACTTTTAAAATGTTCTAAAATTGTCTTTTCAAGATTTTTTTATTTTTCATAAGAATGGTTAAAATGAAAAGGTACATTTATTCTTTTTTCAATTTCTCAAATTAATTATAAGTTAAATAAATAAGTCAAATAAATTAAAAATTTTTATCTGAAATTAACCTTTGCCAAAAAATTATACCAAAAAAAAAAAGAAAAAAAAAGAGGCAACTAATATTAATTAAAAACATATTCGTTTTTACAGAACTCAGAACTTGACTGCGAA